TGTATATTATAAATACGTCAGATCTTGAGATGGGGGAATGAAATGAGGAGGAGATGGTTGTAATGCCAGAAACGGGAGGAGGAGAGAGAATATGGATTACCGAGAGGGAAGGGATTGGGGCACAGGGTCATTATAGAGATCCCTCTGCCTCCAGGCTAACTGGAAGCCCAAGATTTAGGTGTTAAGGACATGGAAGATTCGGTGTTTTAATGTTAGGAACGACTAAAGAGTGAAGCTCTCTGGGGACCTGGTGGGTTTACCTTGGGTTCTGTCCCCCCTCAGGAAGCTGGGAAGATTGAAAAGATTTCCAGGTCCTGAAGTAATGGCAGCAGCTTTGGGAGAAGCTGACCAATCCCCTTTAAGTGGGACCACGGGAGGGAGGGACGGTAATAATGGCTGACATTTACATAGCACTTTCAGGTTCACAAATTGATCCATTATCTCACTAGAGCCTCACAAACAAGCCTGTGGAGGTAGGTACAACAGATATTATTATCGTCCCTATTTTACAGAGAAAGAAACGGGGCTCAGCAAAGTTAAGTGATTTGCCCAGGGTCACACAGCTTATAAGTGTCCCACCTGGGATGTGAGCTCAGGTTACCTGGAAGGCCAAATTCAGCACCTTGTTTGCTGTGCCATGCTGCCTCTGCCGTCAACTAGAGAGGCCTTTCACAAATAATACAGAAAGAACCGATTGCCCCAAATGAAATACCGGGAGTCCCAAAAGTCTTAGTACAGGTTGAATGGCTATTCCACCTCAAATGCTCAGACTCAGACCCATTCAAGACACCCCAATTTGCCCAGGTGGAGGCCCACGCTCACAGTCACCCTTCACCTCAGACAAAATGTTAAGAGGAACTCAGACTTACGTAAACACACACTGCAAAATGTGTACTCAGTTGGAGACACAGACAGGCACATTCACATAGAAAATAAGAGGTTTGGCCTAGATAATCACTAAGGTGTCTTCCAGTTCTTCCAGGCCACAGTTCTGTGATTCGATGACTGACCACCCACCTAAGCAGCATATGATTTCAGAGCTCGAGCCCTTGAGGTCATCTAATCCAACCCTCTTCCCCTCATCGTTTTACAAATGAGGAAACTGAGGCCCATAGGGAAGAAGTAACAGAGCCAGGAGGGTGTCACAAGCTCATCCTCACCAAGGCCAGACCCCACTAGGGGAAGGGATGAGGTGGGGGAAGCCTACCACGAATCCACAAAGTCGATCTTCCACTCACAGGGCCTGGGGGTCCGCTTCTCTTCTGCTGACCTTCTCACAGAAATGGTGCTGTCAGTAGCAGCAGGGAACTGAGTTGGGGGGGGTGGGGGGAAAGAGGGGACCAGGCACAAAATGTACTGATATAGGGAGTAAAGGGGATGAGAGGCCTGAGTCCCAGTCCAAATCCTAATGCCCTCAACAACCAATCAATGAATTCAGTTCAACAAACACTTGTTAAGGGCCTACTATGTGCAAAATGAGAGGCAAAATGTGGCAGAGTGGATAGAGGGCTGCCTTTGGGGACAGGAAGACAGGCCCTCAAGCCCTTCCTCAGATACATGGGCAAGTCTCTCATGAGCTGAAGATTCACTCTACACCAGGAGCAGGAGTTTCCATCCTGGGATTTCTCCCACACCAATGAAATCACAAGTCCAGTCTAAGCCCTTTCCCCCACATGAATGAATGAGTGAGTGAATGAATGAATGAATGAACTTCATGGTACTGGACATCATGGGAAAAAAGGACAATCCCTTTAGAGACAGCTAGATGACATAGTGGATAGAGCCCCATGTCCCAGGAGGACCTGAGTTCAAATCTGGCTTCAGACATTTACCAGTTGTGTGATGTTGGCCAAGTTACTCCACCTCTGTCTGCGTCAATTTCCTCAACTGTATAGTGAGAATAATAGTAACACCTACCTTCCAGGGCTATTGTGAGGATCAAATGAGATAATATTTGTAAAAAGTGCTTAGCACAGTGCCTCACACATAATAGGCACTTAATAAATGCTTCCTTTCTTTGCAGTCTGTGTGGTATTGGGGGAAGAACCAAAGATATACACAGATCACTGTAATATACATTAGAATGTGATAGAGTGAATTTGGAGAGGTTTAATAAAGGAGGATGGAATATCTGAGGAAGATTCAGAGGGTCGATGATGACTGGTGATTCCCCACCTCCTGACACAGAGGTCAGGGATGAAACATGAAGAAGAAAGATTTTCAGACATAGGCAATATGGGGATTTGTTTTGTTTGACTCTGCATTTTTTGTTACAAGAATTTTGTCTTTCTTTTTGTTTTTCCAGTGTGAGGAGGGAAGGTGGGAGGGAGAGAAAATAAATATTTGTTAATTGAAAATACATTACATTTAATTAAGAAAAGAAGAAAAAGGCTTGAGGAAGGAGAGATTGCATCTAGGCCAGAAGATCAACGAAGGCTTCGGGTGGGAGGTGGCACCAAGCTGGGCCTTGATAAAAGAGGATTCCAACAGGCTGAGATGAGAGGTGGGGGGAAGGTCCATTCCAAAGCATGGGAGGAGGCAATGTGTGCAAATGCACCAAGGTGGGAAAGGACAGGCTGAGAATGAAGAAGAGTGCATTCCCCTTAACTTGTTGAGTACAGAGTCTGATGAGCACAAGGGAATAGTGGGAAATAAGTCTGGAAAGATAAAAGGAAGCCAGGTTATACAGGGCCTTGAATGGCAGGCTAAGAAGTTTGCATTTTATTTGGCAAGCAATAGTGAGTCACAGGAAGTCTGCAAATGGAAGGGACATGGTCAGACCTGTGTCTTAGGAAGATTATAGTAGGGGCTGTGTGAAAGAGACACAGAGAGCAGCTAGCAGGCTACTGCAAAAATCCAGGCGAGAAGCAACAAAGACCTGATACTGTTTGTAACAGTGATACTGTTTGAGTGGAAAGAGGTGGGGAGAGAAGGTTTCGAGAAATATCGTGTAAGTAGATGCTACCAGACTTCACAACTGATTGGATGTGTGGAGGAGAGAGGAAAAAGATGATGTCTGGTTTTGATATATATGTACATATAGTATGTATGTGTGTATGCATATATGAATATAAAGTCAGGAGGCCCTGAATTCAAATCTGGCCTCAGACACATACTAGCTGTAGTGTGTGACCCTTGGGCTAGTCACTTCACCCTGTCTGCCTCAGTTTCCTCATCTGTCAAATGAGTTGGAGAAGGCAATGGCAAATTACTCCAGTATCTTTGCCAAGAAAATCCCAAATGAGGTCATGAAAAGTCAGACATGACTAATGGACAAAACAAGAGAAATAAAGAAATTGAGAGAGAGATCAGGTTTGGAGGAGAAAACGAGTTCTGTTTTGGACATGCTGAATCCATGTAGAGATATGCAACAGGCAGCTGGAAATATGGGATGGATATAGGGCTGTGCTGGCAAATGTTAACAACTGGTTCTCTCGTTAAAAAAAAAACCCTGTATGAATAACACACTTTTAAGTTTAATCTGAATAATTAATGTTTCACTTTCTTAATTAATTTCTAATTAATCACTTTCTTAAGTCAAGATAACAAAACAACAAATCAAATCCTGATTTCTATCCTTTGCTGATTTCCAAGGGGTAAATGCTCACACTGAAAATTGAATAGTTGACCAACTTTGATAGACTTAGCTCTTCTCAGCAATACAAGGATCTAAGACAATTCTAAAAGACTCATGATGGAAAATGCTATCCACATCTAGAGGAAGAACTATGGAGTATGAATGCAGATCAAAACATACTATTCTTTCTTTCTCTCTCTTTCTCTCACTCTCTCTCACTCACTCTCTCTCTCTCTCTCCCTCTCTCTTTTGTTTCTTCTTTCTCATGGTTTTTCCCTTTGGTTCTAATTCTTCTTTACAACATAACTAATGTGGAAATATGTTTAATATGATTGTACATGTATAGCCTATATCAGATTGCACACTGTCTTGGAGAGGGGGGAGCAGAGGGGGAGGAGAAAATTTGGAACTCAAAATCTTATAGAAGTGAATGCTGAAAACTAAAAATAAATAAGTAAAATTTTTAAAAAATGAAAAAAATTTCCCTCTAATTCTCATGTTTTAAATAAGGTAATAAAGCTTATCATCTTCTACAATCCTTCCCCCCCCAAAAAAAGAAAAGAAAATTGAATAGTTGGTTACCAACAGCTGATATGAGCTAGTTCTAACACTCCACTGAACTGGAGCTTAAAGAGATCAGGACTGAGGAGAGAGATTTGGACATCCTTCTTACAGAAATGATGGCTAAAGTCAGGAAAATGGATGAGATGGACAAGAGAAGGTTTTAGAAAAAAAGAGGGAGGAGGACAGAGAGAGAAATGTCTTTAGTGGATAAAAGAAAGAAGAGAAATCCCCATAGGAATCAGACAGGAAAAGCTAGGTGACTTAGAGCTGGGTGACAGAAGGCTGATGGTTGGGGTTATCCAAGGTTAAGGATTAACAGAATGGAAACAGAAAAAGTCAAAGGATGTGTTTGTGGACATGTGTGTGCACACTAGTGTGTGCGTGCGTGTGTGTGTGTGTGTGTGTGTGTGTGTGTGTGTATTTATGGGTGGAGGAGAGGGCATCCTTGAAATGAGTCTAACCATGTTTGGATTCAGTCAAAGGGCTGCACTGGAGGACCACATGTGGCCTTAAGGCTGAAGGTTCCCTACTTCTTTTATTCAGGGTCATACTTAAGAAGAGGGCAGCTAAGTGGCAAAGTGGATACAGTGCTGGTCCTGGAACCAGGAGGACCTGAGTTCAAGTCCCATTTCAGATACTTCTGTGTGACCCTGGGCTAGTCATTTCCACCCTGTTTGCCTCAGTTTCCTCATCTGTCAAATGAGCTAGAGAAGGAAATGGCAAACCCAAAAATGGGGTCACAGAGAGTCAGATACAGTGACTAAAAAAACAACTGAACAAAAATACTTGAAGGTTCAGGTAGTGATCACTGCTATGCTCTCCAACTAGGGAAGCATCTTCCATTCCTTCCCCATCTTACCAGTTTAAGTCACACTGCTCATTGCTGATGGGTATAGATCTTCAAAGTGCCGAGTGAATTGTCCATAAGGAGGGATCTGCCTTCACCTTCATCTCTCTTTCTCTCAGTTTCCCCACCTGTAAAATGAAGGCAAGCACCAAAAACTTCTTTACCAAATAGGAGAAAAGTGTGCTTTGAAACCAAATTTCCCAGGGAAGAGAAGGGACAGATTTACCAATTAATTCAACAACTACTTGTTAGGGACCAACTTTTGTTGTTCAGTCATGTCTGACTCTTCATGGTATCTCTTGGCAAAGATATTAGATTGGTTTGTCTTTTCCTTCTCCAGTGGATTAAGGCAAACAGAAGTTAAGAGACAGCTAGTAAGTGTCTGAGGCCAGATTTGAACTCAGGTCTTCTTGACTCCAGGCCCATCACTCCATCCACTGAGCCACTTCGCTATCTCCTTAGGGACAGATTAGGTGACAGTAAGAAGCAATGGCAAGAAACAATGGCACACTGTTTCTCTGCAGGCTGAACAAACAGAAATGGGCTGGTACTGCAGCAAAAGCAATGGTTTTCACATTAAAAATTTCCTCACTGGACCAAATGTCTCCCCAAAGGGGATGAGTGGAATATGAGATGGGGGGAGTCTTTGCTTGGGGAAAAGACTATTAGGATTTAGGTCTGAATCGGAAGCAGGGAATGCATGGGATGAGGTGACCTCTAGCTTTCCCATCAGTCTCCCTCTCAACCCTAGGGAAGAAGTGATTGCAAAGCACTTAGCTCTCCCTAAAAGCTTCTTCTGGAATTGTGAATGCAATGGGCAAGAAGGGGGAGGGAAGCAGCCCAACAAAGCAGGGGCCCATTAAATAATAATTCTCCTTATTAATTCTGTTCTGGTCCACTTGGGACTTCATTTGGCCAGCATATTAGAGGGCTACATCGCTACCTCATCCCAGATCTCGAAGCATATAACTTGACTTTGCCCCAAAAATACCATAGGCTAGGTTAAGGCTAGGCATCCTGGTAATTCAGTAACATATCTGAGCTCCAGTTAAGAAAGAAGGGTGGGGAGGAAAGGAGAGATATTGGCATTGGAGGCTAGGAGAAACTAGCAACTTAGTTTTGCTATTGTTTGTCTCCCTGAAGGCCTTGAGCATCAGTTTCCCCATCAAGTCAGAAGCAAGGAAGAGCTCCTCAGGCATTTGAGATGATTGATCCTTCTGGGTACCAGAGGTGATAAGCATAGAACTCCAGTCCACACAAGACTATAGAAGGCTCTGTTCAACCCCATACCCCATAAAGGGTAAAAGCCCTTGGGGCTCAAGTAGGTCTTTTTAAAGGATTCTCCAACTTTGGCCCTAATCCTGATCTTAAGATTTAGCAAAGGCCAGACTGCAGGAAAAGTCAGGGTCCAAAGCCTTCTCTCTATCCTTCCCCCAAGAAAAGCAGTGGCATGATGGAAAGGACAGGGCAGCTAGGTGGCACAGTGGATAGAGTACTAGGCTTGGAATCAGGAAGACATCTTCCCAGTTCAAAACCAGCCTCAGACACTTACTAGCTATGTGACCCTGGACAAGTCACTTAACCCAGTTTGCCTCAGTTTCTCATCTGTAAAGGAAAAAAGAAATGATCTGGAGGAGGAAACAGCAAACCACTCCAGTATCTCTTCCAAGAAACTCCCCACCGCTCAAAAGATGGAGTCATGAGGAGTCAGACCGAAAAGACTCAACAATAACAAATGGAAAGGACACTGTCTTAGAAGTCAGAGGACCAGGGTTTAAGTCCTAGCTTGGCCCCTAGGTCACTTGTTTTTTGCCCATTGTTTTGGGGGGAGGGTGCTAATTGAATATCTGAGCTGAAAGGGACCCTATGAATAAATTTCTTTGCTAGCAATGTTCCCTTGAACAAGTTAGTCTCCCTCTTTGGGGCACTAGTTCCCTTATCTGTTTAAAAAAAAGAGAGAGGATATTGGATTAGATCGCCTTTAAGATGTCTCCCAGCTCCAAACCTATCGTTATCATCGTTATTATTATTACTATTATTGCTATTATTATTGTTTTTCTTGTTACATATTTAAAGACAGCCTAAAGGTTTGCAAAGTGTTTTCCTCACAACAACCCAATGTAGTAGCAACAGCCCCAAGAGGGAGGCAGTGAAAATATTATTGTCATTATGCAGACGAGAAAATAGGCCCAGCAGTCGAGTGATGTAGCCAGGGTCATAAAGCTAGCAAATGAATTTGTGGTCCTAAAATCTCTGAGGTACCTTTCAGCTCTGACATTCTACGAAACCTCCCACACGGGAGAAATAGAGAGGACCTCGGGGGTGGGGGGTGGGGGGGCTGTCTCCCAGGGTGAGCTGGGCTAGGTTGGGTTAGAGTGTAAGCAGGAGGCAAGACTCCAGGGTCTCCTTCCAGTCTGGAGCTCAGTTCCTCCTAGCCTTTCCCGAAAAACCCTTTAGTTCCGGCCCTGTCTGGAGACTGGTTCTGTGCTGGGGTTCCCAGACCCTTTCCCCATTCTTATCCCCAAAGGTCAGCTTATCTAGATCCCAGGGTCCTAGACACCCCCTATTCCAATCAGCTTCTTAGGGCTTGGAGGGCCCTCCATCCCTGGGATGACTCCACTACCCCCCTTCTCTCTAGGCGGACAGAACCAGCTGCCTGAGTGTGGGAAGTGCGGAGGGGGAGGGGGAGGATGGGAAGAGGGGAAAGGGGGGCGGGGAGGGAGGGGGGGGAGGGAGGGCGGCAGGAAGGCTAGAGATTGCAGGAAGCAGTCTCGAGTGGGGGGAGGCTTTGTGCTTGAGTTGTCTTCTGGGTCCTAGGGTCCTCCTTGTACCCCATTTTTAGGCTGTGGGAAAAATGAGGCAGAGGGCACAGGTTCTCTGGGGATGAGATGGAAAAACCCACTCCACTGATCAGGGTATCTGGGGGCGGGGGGCGTGTATCAGTGATGCAGCTTCTTAATCCTCCCAGGGTTTGGGTCCCCCAGGCTGTTCTCAAAGCAGGACCTCAATTCTCTCTGCTTCTAGGGGCATAGTACGGAGATAGAGAGACCAGAATGGGGTGGGGAGGAGGGATAAATACTTCCCCAGCGCCTAGAGGCAACTATTCTAGATAAAGGTAAAAGTCGAGGGGGGGGGGGGGGGGGGGGGGGGGGGAGTCCGATCTCCAGGGCCCTTTTGGCCTCACCTCCAAGAACCTGTTATTTCTGTTGGAGAAACGCCTAGCCCAGAAGCTCCAAGGATCTAGAATAAGGACCGGGACCCCATTTAAACTCACTTTGCAACCTCCTGAAAGGTCAGAGTGGCGCTCTGCGAAATATTCCCTCCACCCAGATCCAAACGGACTGGATCTCGTTTTCTTAGCTATTCCGCCTCTCTCCAACACCACCCAGACAGAGCTGGACGCATGGGGGTACTCTCTAAAAGCAAATCCTTCCGACCTACTCATCTCCTTCCCAGGTTCTGAGTTGGGGGAAGCTGTAATGAAGCAGTTGAAGAGTGTGCCCCCTTTCTTGAAGGGGTGAAGCAGCTATGTTCAGGTCTCTGGATTGGAGCAAGAGATGGAAATGGACAGGCTTGTAGTTGATTGGTGTGTTGGCGGTCGGGGTTTAAGGGGCGGGTCCACTAGTGACTGGCCCTCGAAACCCGGAGAGAGGGTTCCACTGCGAGGGGGAAGCTGGGGCCCAGGTCCCCGGAAACCCCTGTCGCTTTAGGACCCAGAAGGGCCCGTCCCCCAGCGGCCGCTAAGAGAAGGGCACCGGCTCAGTTCTCAGGCAGCAGCGGCTGTGGCAGAGGGAGAGAAAGACAGAGGAAAAGGGGAGTTGGGGGGGGAGGGAAGCAGGCAGGCAAGATAGGCAGGCCGGAACAGAGGGGGAGCGGAGCCTGGACCGAGCTGGGGCTGTGCGAGAGAACAGTGACAGCAGCATAAGAATCTCGAAGAGCTCCGAGGCAGGACCATGGCTCCCGGGGTCCCCCGGCCCCCAGAGATCCGAATCTGCCATCCCGGGTGGGGGATGGACTGACTGCTTGCTTGCCTGTCTCTCGCTGACACCGCCGCCTACAATGTGAACCGGATTCCGCCCGCCGCTTGTTCGGGGGGAGGGAGGGGGGCTCCGACTGTGGTCGGCCGCTTGTTTTGGGGGGGTCAGACTCGAGCGAGCCCCTTGGAGGGTTTTTTGGGGGGAGGGGATCCGGACGGTAGCCGGTCCCTTGTTCGGAGGAGGGGCAGAGAAAGGGGGGATGCGAACCCGGTTCCCCCCATCATGATGAAGACGGAGCCGCGCGGCCCCGGGGGCCCCCTTCGGAGCGCTTCCCCTCACCGTAGCGCCTATGACGCTGGTATCCAGGCCCTGAAAGCCCCGTCCGACAACCCGGGGGCAGACGAGGCCCCGAAGGTCCCCCATCACAAGAAATATGGCTCCAACGTCCACCGGATCAAGAGCATGTTCCTCCAGATGGGGACTGCTGGGCCTCCCGGTGGCTGGGGAGAGGGGAGCAGCGGTGCGGGGGGAGCCGGGCCTCCGGAGCCCCCTCCCCGGGTGCCTGAGCGCTCTGTGCGCCTCTCCCTGCCCCGGGCCAGCAGCCTCAACGAGAACGTAGACCACAGCGCGCTGCTGAAGCTGGGCACCAGCGTGTCGGAGCGGGTGAGCCGCTTCGACTCCAAGCCGGCGCAGCCGCCCCAGCCAGCGCAGCCGCCCCAGCCGCTGTCCAGGCTGCAGGAGACAAGGAAGTTGTTCGAGCGCAGCCCCGCCGGGGCGGCGGCCGGGCCGGGCGGCGACAAGGAAGCCGCCACCCGGCGGCTCCTGAGACAGGAGCGGGCCAGCCTGCAGGACCGGAAGCTGGACGTGGTGGTGCGCTTCAACGGTAGCACCGAGGCTCTGGACAAGCTGGACACCGACGCCGTGTCCCCGACCGTCAGCCAGCTGAGCGCTGTCTTCGAGAAGGCGGACTTAAGGTCTGGCCTCCACCGGGGGCCCGGGGCGCCGCCGCTCAACTCCAAGCTGGTCAGCAAGAGGTCTCGGGCTTTCCTGCCTACGCCTCCCGCCCCGTCGGGTGATGGGCCCACCGAAAAGGAGCGGGGCCCTGGAGGGCAGCCGCAGCCTCAGGGGCAGCCCCAGCAGCCACTGCATCGCTCGGCACCGGTCCGCCCGCCCCCCAAACCCCGGGAGGTGCGCAAGATTAAGCCAGTGGAGGTGGAGGAGAGTGGGGAATCGGAGGCCGAGGCAGCAGCTGGAGAGGTGATCCAGGCTGAGGTGACCGTCCACGCGGCCCTAGAGAACGGGGCCGTGGCTGCAGCGGTCCCCGCCGGACCCCCAGAGGAGCAGAGAGCTCAAGCTGCCCCGGAGGATGAAGGGGACGGAGACAGGGGAGTAGGGGTCTCGGGAGAAGGCCGGGCGCCTGACGTGGCCCCTGAGGAAGGGGATGAGTCCAAGAGGGAGGACTTCTCCGAAGCGGACTTAGTGGACGTGAGCGCCTATAGTGGGCTTGGGGAGGACTCTGGGGGTAGTGGGCTGGAGGAGGAAGAGGAAGAGGACGACGAGGAGGAGGAAGATGGGGAACCCCCTTATGAGCCAGAATCGGGGTGTGTAGAGATCCCAGGGCTCTCGGAGGAGGAGGAGCCGGTCCCCAGCCGGAAGATCCATTTCAGCACTGCACCCATCCAAGTAAGTGAGGTCCCTTGGCACCCACTCCCCCCCAACCCCCTGCCATGTGCGTTCTGCCCGCCTCCGCCCTGCCAGCTGAGGTTGGCACGTTGAGTCAGCTCCTTCATTGGTGGGAACCCTGCCCCCTCCCAGCTATTCCCTACAGCTCTGACCCAGAAGTGATTATATTTGGGAGGGGGTATTGCTTAGTTAGAACTATTTATATGGGATAAAATAAAGCTCATCAGAGCCTCCCTCTAGAAGCTGTACCCTGTGTTGGAGTAAGGGCAGGCACCAGGCTAGCATTGCACCAGTCCCCCTCCCCATGCCCTACATCTGCTTTCCCCTCCAGCGAGGGTGGCTGTCAGGGTATCTACAGTTAGCCATCCTTCAGGTCCCCTTTGGCGAGCTGGCCTACTCTTCCCTTCCTCCCCCACCTCCAACTATGTGTCAGAGGGAGAAGGTGGGGAGGGAGGAAGAGGAGGTGACTCTCCCTTTCCTGCTCACCCACACAGCTGCCTGGAGCAGGCAGTCAATGCCCTGCCCTTGATAATGCCAGATTAGTTTTCCCATTCCCAGAAATCCCTTCATTCTGGGAGCCTAGGGGCAGACAGTGAGATAGTTGGGGGATGGGAATGGGGAGAAGAGGGTAGCAGCCTGAGAAGACTCCGAACTTAAGGTAGAGGGCACAGAGAACAGGCAGGTGGAACAAACCTGAGAGATTGTTGCCCTCTTCCCCCTCCCCCAAAAGGGGGGCCAGAAGGAGGCAGTGCTTTCCCCTGTCCTATCTAAATGGGCATTTCCCCCATTTCAACTTTGCAGAAGTGAAAGGGGGAAGTAGCAAAGGGAGAGCTCTGGAGTGGGATCACATGACTCCTAGGGTGGTAGGGAGGTGATATGGTCTAGGAACTTTCTTCCTCTTGGGACTTCCCTCCCACTCCCTCACCCCAACCCCCACCTCACTGGAGCTCCTGAAGGACCTGGGTTTTCCATGGTGGTGTTAGTAAAGATGGATTGAGATCTCCAGGGTGAGGAGCTTGAAGTCTGTCTCTGGTAGGGTGCTGGAGGGGCTGGAAGGGAGGCCTTCTTGACTTCCTATGAATGAGGCCCCCTGGGGATATCAAGAAAAAAGAGATGGGGAAATGGAGACAATCCTGAAAGGGAGGGGGCCTGATTCATGCCCCCTCCTTCTTTACAATCATTTAAAGGGCCAGATGCCCCCAAGGCTTGTCCTGGGGAAGAACCTACCCAGGTGGTAGATTCCATTTGTCAGATCATAAAGACTCTCCACCCCCATAACAGAATAGAATGTTAGAGCTAGAAAAAGGGATCTTAGAGATTACTTAGTGCTACCCCTTTATTTTAAAGGGGATAAAACTGAGGCTAGCTGGTTCTTTCCACACTCCTTTAGTAATAGTGAGAAAGAGGAGGGGGGAGGAAGTTTGGATGCCTTGAACTGCTTCTCCATTAAGATTCCCCTTTCTAAGCCCTGATTACACACACACACACACACACACACACACACACACACACACACACACA